TATCTATAATATAAAAAGCATAAAAAGATAATTTATATATACCAAATTTTGTTTCAAATTCATGTAGTTCTTTATTTGAACTTATTATAGATAATTGTTGGATTCTTTTTTTAAACTGTTACTGATTTCGTATAGGCAAATTATCTGGATTATATGTTATATATTTATCTTTCTTTCCTATAGGTGGCATAGTTAGAAAATATACATGATCTATATAAATACCACAAATATTACAATATCTACATCCTTTATAAGAATTATGTCCAGTAAGACACATAAGCTTTGTTAGTCCTGAAGTATAACCTAACCATGATATAACATGTGCACGTAATAAGAATCTCTTTTTTTTTAAATCTATCATAAAAATTGATTCAACTATAAATTAATTAGATAAGTTAGAATATTTAATATTATTTACTTTAATAAAAACAATAAAGTAAAATTTATATCTTCTAAATCTTTTAATTCATTAACTATTGAATACATAAATGAGTTAAAATGTTTAGGCTTTTTTGGACTGTGAATTATTGATGTTATCATAAGATTCTCTTTTTTAACGTGATTCTCTAGACAAAGATTTGCATTAATAATGAGAACTATCTAACAATCATCTGTCTTTTGTCAAAATATTTGATATCCATCAACTGATCTAATTAATACTATATCTCATTTATCATTAAAAAATCTATAAGACAAAAGTTCTCGATATCTTTTATCATCAAATACATCTCCAATTTTAAAATTATTATGATGATTATAATTTGCACGATATCTCAATTCTTTAGAACGGTCAGGATCTTGATATTGATTTATAAGTCTATCTTTAATTGAAAAATAGGCCATCTAATGTCAAGAAATACAATTTTTATTTGCTGATGTGTCTTGAAATCTTGGTGCTTTACAATACTCACATTGAACATAATTTTTATATTGTCCAGTATATGCACAGCATGAATTGACACACACATATCAATCCATATTGATTCTAACTTTACAATAGATTTTAGAACTTTTTTGATTTGATATTAGCTTATATCACCTCCATTATCAGTCAACATTGTTTGTCAAAAAGCCTCATCTGTCAAATTGCAATAAGTCTTAACATTTAATAATCTTAAAGTGCAAGTCATTTCATTTGATAATTGTATATCAACTATATTTGATAATATTTAATAAAATAGATTATAATAGTTAATTATATAATTATTTGATATATTACATACTATTATTATTTACAGAAGATTCATTTAAATCAGAAAACTTATTCACATATTCGATAGATTCACTTGAGTCATACTCATCAATTTCAGAGCTTATTGAAGATATTTTATTTGTATAAGACTGGTCATCATTTATAAAATCAATGTTCATAGAAGAGTTGCTTGCTTGATGTTTCGCTTCAAACCTTTATACAATTATGTAGTTTTTAAAAAAAAAATAAAAAATAGATTATTCAAATTACAAAATATATTTTTCTAAGTTTAAAATATCAGTAACAAATGTATCATCAAGTATTGAACTAAAACTAGAATTAGAACTCAAACTCAAACTTGAAAATTCTTCTTGTTCATGATCTTTTTTGTGATGATGTCTAGTTTTAGTAGATTTAGAAACCAAAAGACCAATATTTTGTTCTGTATCTTTTTTTTGACATTTTGAACAAGTATAAAGAATTTTTATTGACATTTAAAAAAATTCACAATATACACGACTTATTTTTTTTTTTATTTTTAAATTAAATCATATCTATATATAGCTGATGATAAGATTAACCAATTTTAGACATAAATATTTCATGTTGATTAAATTTGAAATGTGATATTCATGCAAACTTTTTTTTTTAAAAGTTCAGATATAATATTTATGTAATCAAAAAATAACTTTTTTTTAAAGTTTGGTATTTTTAACTTTGGCTAATTTGTTTTTTTTACAACTTATAAATGAATAAATCAAAAACTTCTAAAGTTCGTTATCACTAACTCACTCCTAAAGAACATGAAAAATTTGAGAATTCAGGTGACAAGTCATCAAACCAGGAGTTTTATGAATCCTCTGACAATAATGTTACAAGTAAACAAATATTCAATAAAAAAACTTTTGATAAACAAACTCATGGATCACATTACTGCTTTAGAAAATAAAAATGAAAAACTTGAATATAATGCAAGAAGGTCTCAATATTCCTAAAATAAAACAAGTTCGAAAAATGTATTGGCTGAAACTAATGGTGCTTCAAACTCAAGACTTAGCAAAGAAAAAGATCTAGATAAAAAACATAAAATACACAAAAAACTTTATACTAAATATCAGGAATCTAGTTCAGAAAGATCAAGCTCTGAATATGAATCAGATGAGGTATGTTTTGTTCTCTTTTTTTTTTTGAAAATAACAAAAATACCAAATATTTTCTATTTGACATTTTTTATTTCAAAGGATAAGAATGCTAGCTTTACAATTAATACACCAAATGGTCAATCAGCAACTTCACTGATTCTAAAACCTTCATCTGAAAAAAGCCAATATATAAAGTTATATTTAAAACTAAATTTAGACAGGGTCATATATAACAGTTATAGAGTAAGAAACTGATTAGATGTAATAAATATTAACAATCTAATCATTAATGAACCTTTTATTAAAGTGCTTTTTATGATCTCATTAATTGCTATGCTCCTAGTGATGTTGAATATAAAAATATTGATAAAAATGTTAAGATTAATATCATACACAAGGTATGTTATAATTTTTTAACTTTCTGATTCTTTCAATTCTAAACTAGTATTACATGTTTTTTATAGTTTAAAAAAAAGAATTCTTACTTTCCTGAATGTATTAGAGATTGGGCTTTATACTATCTTATATGTTGCAAGATCAATATTATCTATATGTATCATAAATTAATAAGATCTAAATTCTTTGAATTAATTAAATAATGTTTCTTTATACAGGTAATAATATTCATCATAAAAATATATCCAAAGATAATAAAGGCAAAAAAGGTAATTTATTTAGTATTAAATACTATCATTTATTATAAAATAACTGAATAATATTTATATAATAGTTTCAACATAAAGATATAAAATCGTAAATACTTCTTTGTCTAATGACAATAGACCTAGATAAAATAAAAATTTGATACCTAATTCAGAATACTGAGAATACAATTCTAATCAATCAAATTCTCTGTTATTGAACCAGAAACTATATCTAATATTAACATCGCAAAGAAATTTTGTTTATATTTTCAAAATATTAATTATAAATTTTAATGACAATTCATCATTGACTAATATTAAATATTCTATTACAGAAATAAATAAAACAAAGAATACTAAATTGCAAGTTGAATTAGAATATACTTCTCTTAATGAAGTTGATTCTATTATAGAAATAAACAAAACAAAAGATACCAAATCACAAGTTGAATTAGCATCTGCCAAAAGAGTAAAAAAGAATATCAATTTCTGATGATCATACTGCTCATAATGAAGTTAAAAAAGATACTAATTCGCATATTAAATCAGTATCTGCTAAAAGAGTAAAGAGATTATCAGTTTCTGATGATCATATTGAACTTGTGGCTTATAACAAAGTTGAGAAACGTATCTTACCTTATAGGTCAACCTGTAAAAAGAGAATTTTATGAAAATTAAGTAACTAAATTTATATATTCAAATATAATTTTAACCTTTATTACTTATATGCATTATTTTAATAGAGCAGTAAGTAACTAATATACAGTATATGTGAATTTTATACACAATTATATTTTATATTATATACAATTTGTAGTAAAGATGTTTACATATAATGTAATTAATTTGCATATTTAACATATATTTTATATATTTTATATACAATAAATTATATTAAATTACCAGATTTTTTTATATATATTAAAATTTTATATAAATTACAATTTTAATTATCAATT